TTGCTGATATAATTCTTTCAGATTTCTTCACTATCTGGTTCACAAATATCGGAGCGCTTGTCCGATATTTTGTTTTTCCGAGAGTTTGTCCGAGCGAACACATTTCAAGCGATTTTCCATGCGACTCGGATTCAAACCATTATTGTGTGAACCGCGGATACATGTAATTCTTTTAGATTGCGTAGACATCTGGTCCCCATATTTCAATAATTTTTTTCATACTCCAATTTTTCTTCTCTCGTATTAATATTTTGTTCAACGACTGGGCAGAATCTAACATAATACCGAAACCTTCTTTATGGAACTAGTGTTAACTTGCATAATTATGACATTGTTACAAGACAAAGACAGACAAAGTTAATCTTCTTTTAGGTTGCGTTGAGTTTTAATTCACGGGTTTAAATGTGCGTTAACTCTGTTAACTCTTTTCCGATTCATGCTTCGCAAAGAGATTCTGCAAAAATGAACCTGCTACTTTAACACACACTATTTTCGATTTATGCTTAATTTTCTACATTCACGAGTCATCATGGTACTTCTTTTATATTGCGCAGTGAACTGATACGCAAATATCGAAAGTTCTACTTAATTAAATATATTTTGCTAATTGCCTCCTCACTTTTGCCAAGCGACTGTACCGAGACGAATATGCTACTATTTATTGATCTAATAGGGGTTTTAGATTTCAGTGAGTTGTCTCTATTACGTTACTTTTTTACTACGTTGGGATCTGGCTTAGAAATGGCAATGAAGGCATACATACTTCCTTCTGTAATTTTAGTTCATCAATGCAGCAGAATTTAACATACAATTCATTGTTCACACAATTCATTATTTAATTTCCATAGATTGTGAGACTGTGTTGTTCATCAATTCTGTGCTGCGAACTGGTAAACACGTACCAAAGACGACTACATACTTTGTTTTCCTTTTACTTTTAAACTTAGTACAACAATGTTGTCGAAATTAACATTAAACAATAAATGGTAATGAAACTATTGATTTTCAGACCCTGAGTAAAACAACTGGTGAACCCAAAGCAGACTCTACCTCAAAGAATTTGGAGAATAGAGTTCCATACCTGGGAAATTCGGGTTTTTAATTAAAATGTCGGTCTTATCTATTAACGTACTGCCACGCACGAATCCACCCCAAATGAGGCGAGACCGGAAAACTCGGGAGGGGCGCAGTGAAGTAAAGGAAAGAGCCGCAAGTTCGGAGAACGAGGATTGCGGCAGAAAAAGTCTTCGAATTTACACGTTATACACACTCACGTTTGTTTCATGTTAATGGAAGGTCGGAGACTCGTCGCCAACTTGGCCATGCGGAGCAAAGAGTCACCCGAGCCCCGAAAATATTAGCATAAAATCTATACGTTCTCTCATGAGAGCGTTATGAATTTAGCTTGGAAGACGCCATTGCGTTTTGTCGGTGTAGTGAAGTGATTCGCGACATGAGTGCGATAAGTGACAAGAGCAAAACATTTATCAAATTTAGCACATCATAGATATTTGTTTATCAATAATTAATATTTATTTATTTTTTAGAATACATATCCAAATAAAATAACGTTTTAAAACACAATGTGGCAATACATATTGGTTAATTAATAAATATATTTTTACGCTTAACATGAAAATCAGTTTTAACGCGATAATTAGTTTCATGCCCCTACTGTATATTACACTTAACAAAAGAAGTAATATGTAGAGTGTCGTGAAGTAGGAATACTGTATGCTCTCTTCAGCATACTTCAATATCTTCCAAAACTACGCAGTCTTCAGCTGCCACCCTCCTCCGACTATTCACCCCTTCTGATATGCGTGGCGTCGTATTGCGCGAAAGTCGCACAATGAGCCGACACATAAGGAATGTATTTTAAAGCGAGTAAACCATTCCCAGTAAGTAACTAAAGTTGTTCACACTACAATGCACTTTTTATTCACCCTGACCTTTCCCCCCCTCTCTCTCCAGACCCCAGAAAATCCCGTTCAGGCGGCCCTGGTGTTTTCGTTTCTCAGAGTTTGTAACTTCGCTACGCACACGTTTCGTTGTGCTCGCGTTTTGCTACTCGTGTTAGGAGAAGAGCCGGGGGTGCGGGGATGGCCTTAAATTAGCAAAACAATAAACTCAAATCCGTATTGTTCATTTACCAACACAAATCAGTATTACTCGGGTATTACTAAGGAGGGAACATTTCTCGTTTTCGAATGTTTCTAACCACGCTTTTTTTCGCACCTGTTTTGATCATACAACTATGTAGAGTAAAAGTGTGGAGAAGGGATTGTGAAGGTCCAGAAAAGGTGCACAGATTATATTTGTCCCCCGTTGACGTGACATTTGTTCACCGTTTGTTCGCAACGCAATGCGCGACGGGGAGGCGTTCGGTCGGCACCGCGGGTCGGATTGCGTCCACGGGCTTCCGCTGCGGGTTTCCGCCACCGCGCCGCTCTATTCCATGAATCACTTTCCCGAGGCACGGCGAGGTCGCGGCGCCACCGCGGCCGATTGCTTGCCTCCCGCGAGCGCCACGGGACAACGCGACGCGACGTGACACGATGCGACGCGACACGACACAACACGACGCGACACAACACGCGATGCGATGCGATGCGATGCGATGCGATGCGATGCGATGCGACGCGATGCGACGCGATGCGACGCGATGCGACGCGATGCGACGCGACGCGACGCGACGCGATGCGACGCGATGCGACGCGATGCGACGGCGCGAATCACCGTACTCACGCTCGCGACGCGACTTCGGCGGGCGTTTCGCAAGGTTTGGCTTTTCAGTTGTCACCGCCAAAACGGCGAGAACTGTTGGTGACGTACGGTGTGATTTTGTTTTCTTGAGCTCCACAATCCCTCCTCCCATTTTACTTCGCGCATGATGAAAAATAGCGACAATGCGTATTTGGCAATATATAAAAACATATTTTCGCTCCAGAGATATATACCATTCACGTGCATCGGTGAAAGGACGTCAGATTTGATTTTACTGTATTGCTAATATAATTGCAACCCACACCCATTGTCTCTACTCCTTTCACCGCTAGGAAATTGTGAGCTCAACAAAACGTTCAGGCTACGGATCCATGAAGTATTACAGCGGTTGGGGGAGTGGGGTGGGCTCAGAGCAATTTCATGTACCACACATCAATATTTAAAAAAATGTCAATTTGAAGTAAACAAAAAGAAGCGGAAACACAACGCGTATACTTCTTTGAAATGAGATGTCATCGATGTGCGTTGATTACTTTGAGTAAATGGAGTACAATCACGTAAAATAGGAGGATCTGGCATCCGCCCGTGAGAGGTGATGGTACCTGCACCAGCTGGTGCGATGTGCTCCGCACACGTGCGCGTACACGTCACTCGATTGTATGCGATGACGTCTCGTTTTCCGCGAGAACAAACCCGCATTGTTTTTGACGCGCCAGAAAGTGGAACAATCGGACTGGTTTTTGTGCGAGGTACCGCAAAATAGATAGAGAGACGCAGACATGAATACTGATACATTGTATTAAACGAACTGCGCGACTGTGGAGTATTAGAAAACGAGTGATAGGAGTTTCATCCAAGCCATTGTGATCGCCCGGGTTTGACACCTGGCCAGTCGTTGCACCAACATCCAGAACCGGACGAGCGGCCACTGGAAGGCCTCCTGCGGCCGGTTGTGGACCAGAGAGAGTGAAGGAAACTGCCCGAAAATCCTCAACTGCCCGCGTGTTGCTGGGCGACCGCGAGCGGTGAACACAGATCTCGAGAGTTTTCGACATCTCTCACCCAACGAGTTTCCGCTCGCCTTCCGACACAGTGCTCCGAAGGGCGTGCGCGGCCGACGAGGCCTGAAGAAGGGGTCGTGGATCGAGGGTCACAGGGAGGGTCGAAATCGTCGGTTCTACTGCGGCCGCACTTTAACCTTGGCGGGCTGTTTGTTTTCCGCGAATCGCGCCGCCGGTCAGCGTTTCCCGACAGCTCGATTTGGTGAGCGGTGTCCGCCAAGGAACATGCAAACACTATTCTCTCACACAGAACAACCCAGTATACACGGAGCGTGCAGGCTTTAGCACGCTAACCACTGAGTCCACATTGTTATAAATAAACGAATCTAATAATACGTAAAACCAATCCTTGTTACGGATTAAAAGTCATTTGAACAAAACCTGAATTATACCTCGAATAAAACATAGCACATGAAAAGAAGGTCCGACATTGTGTTCCGGGCTATAACAGTGCTGTCACACGACGTACCTCGATGTTAGATAGCAAGGAACATTCTGTTAGGAAGGCATTTAAACGGGCTAAGAAAACGAACTAATATTCGTGTATTTAATGTGCTTTTGTGATGTAAAATTAGATATATAAGCACTTCATTACACAGGATTTTCGTAGTAACTAGTTGAGAAACTTATGGACGATTCGGCAAATTAGTTCGATGCAGCACGAACTTGGTTCACACGACACCCGTCTTGTTTACAAGACTGTTCATCCCTCCCCTCTCGTAAGCATGTGCATTGTACCTGGCAACGACTAATATCCAACGTCGCACGTTGACGATATTGGCTCGAAACAGTGTTTCGACACCAACACTTATGTTATCAATTTAAACAGTATGCGTGTCACCTGCAAATATGCGTCACACAGTTAACTCCAACGCACACGACAGTCCGAACGGAGCACACGAACGTCAATCCACGCGCGAAATGAGAAAACTGCGTCTCACAACGAAGAAGACCGACAACGAAGGAGGTAGCCGCCACCGCACCCGGGGGCCAGTATCATGAGATATCCTCGGGGGCGGCGCGACGGCGACACAAGCCGATCCTCACGTCCTCAACGCAGCGCGCACAAGCACAACCAACTACTCCTTTCCTTTCTTTGCCTTATCTCTAAGGAAAGGAGCTGTACAAGGGGGGGGGTACAAAGGCAAAGAAGGAAGGGCCGTACGAAGCGACGAAACGCCCGCGAGACAGCACACGGGTGCGGGTACTCACGTCGTTGTCATCCAGGTAGCTGTACACCTCGAGCTTGTCGAGGCGAATGGTGCCCTGGAACGGGTAGATGACGGTGCCTTGCGGGATACGGGCGTTGGTCCACACGTTGACACGCATCTCGGGCAAGCGGTTGGCGTTGCGGTCCACGGGCGCGGTGGCGGCCGCGGGGCTGGCCGTCAGCACCAGCGAGAACTCCTGGGGGATGAGCACGCACGTCTCCATGGCGACCGCTTCTCCTCGTCGAGTTGCTTCGCACGCCGCCGGTCCGGTCACGCCGAGCCGAGGCAGTCCATCCCACAGCCGCACTCCCAAGGCCGAGTCGTGTGCACGCGTGCGCGGGGCGGCCTACAGCGCACGGCCCA